CATTTAAGCAATATTCCTCAGATGAAAGAAGGAAATTCTAGAAACCTCTTTGATCTGGGATTTAAATGACAGGTCCTGATCAAAATAACACCAAGATTTATCTTCTAAACTTGAACAAAATTGGACCCAGGTTATGGTGCTTAATGAACGTTCTAGCAAACATGAATGGATTTTTGATCAGATAAAGTTTAAAAATTGTCCTGAAACTTATTCCAGCATTAAGCAAACAGATGTTGAAGTGTGAATCAAAGCTGGGCTGAGTGTTTTCTATTCTACAGAAATACCTGGTTTGAGTGTTTAACTCACCGAGTGCAGCACTCATCCAGGGAACGTGAGGCTCCAGGTCGTCCACCAGCTCTGGCAGCTCCTGCAGCAGGTTGGAGCACTGCTTCTGGACGTAGAAAACTCCTTTCCTCTGCACCTGCATCAGTCACTCCCAGAGAGAGTGAGAACTGACATCACTCTAGCTACAGCATCCTGGAGCGGCTCCTGCTGCGACTCACCTTTCCTTCTATTATGTCCAGCACTGCAGAGAAGCGCATCTGTCGCTCCTCAGGCATGACAAAACGATCCCCCAGCACGGCGTCGGCGTAGCCATTAGGAGTTACCGCCACGCTGATCACCTTTGAGCCAATCTTCTCCCTGCAGTCAGGAGGTTCGGAAAATCATCCTGACTCTTCCTCACACTAAGAGGATTGAATTAAAAACGCTTCCTGTATGGGAAGCATCTTCAGACTTCAACAGAGTCCAGTAGATTTATTATTTTTTTTACTTTTTTGGAATGACAGTCTAAGAGGAGCTTTAAAGTAGATCAAATTATCATTCCTCAGCTTCATAGGAGCCGATCTTCCAACGGACTCGTCACCTGAGGTACTGTGGCGTCCACCTGGACAGGGCCGGCCAATGGCTGAAGGCATTGCGGATGATGCAGGGCTTGTTTGGGCCAATCCACCGGCGATAGAACTGCAGCGGCTCGGGCGGTCCCTCCACGTATGGCACCGAGGTGTTGAGGTAAAGATCTGATGGGTGATCAGCAGTCAGTGACAGAGGAGAAAACACTACAACCTGTACGAGTTACGCAAGACCGGCAATGGAAACAAGGACATTAGCATCTAGTTTAGCACATAGGAACAGATTGACAGGTTAATATTAATTAAACACATCAAAGCTAAGAACTCAGAACTAAATTTACTTACAGGTGACAGATGAGGCTCTTCAGGTGAACCATAAGAGGCCAACTAATTCACGTGGAATTTCAAAATTAAAGCCCAACGAAATCCCTACACCTAACAGAGTTGGAACCCTTTGACCTTAGCTGACCTCCATATTGCTGATAAACGGTTTGTTTTTTCAGTAAATAAACTCCACGTCTGATTCTGCTTAAACCTGAGGAGTCACACCGTTTACATTTGATCACTGCTAGACTTAGAAATGGAAACATCATGAAAGCTGTACAAAACCAAATTTCACAATAAAATGACAGTAAAAGTTGTCCGAGTCTCAAGGTGTTCGACTATCATTTCGAGATGGAAGCGTTCATTGAAAACGCATAGCAGCAATTACTACAACTTAGTTGGAAGTCACTAAACGTAGAGATGTAGGAGCTTTAATTGTGAAATTCAACAGTCAGACGTTCAGCTGTCATTCTGGACTGAAAGCATTTACTGAAAACAGCCTCATCTGTCACCTACAAGCAAAATAGGTCATATAAAAAAAAAAAAACATTTTTAAGTGAAATTTAATAATTGTATAAACAATGAAAAAAATAGCATAAAGCTGAATAAATTATTAACTTACTTCATTATGTAAAAAGTATAGATATCCATACAAAAATACTGCTCTTATTTTGAAACATAATCTCAGGCGTTACCGTAATTCTTACTATTAAAGCGACCTAAAAAAACCACATGAGGGTTTGAGGTCCATTCCTAAGTGGAGGCTGGTTTTTATCGCGGTGTTTAACTGGTCCTGCAGGTCAGAGGAGTCACTATGAAATGCAGACATGCAGGAAACTCGGTAAACCCACGAGGAGATGGAAGCATTTCAAAATAAGATGCGCAGCCACCGTTTCATTTGCCCTCATCAGCGATAACGGTCCTTATTTTTCCCTTGATCGTTTCTTTAGTCTATGAGATCCGTTTGTCTATTCTAGTAAAATCATTGTATTTATAATTAAGAGATTCTGGTTTTGTTTTTAAAAACAAACAGATTAAAAATCATTAGAATCGTTTGTTTTAAGTCAATCTTCTGATCAGAGTCAGTAAACAGCAGAATCTCACCATGAGCTTCCAGGGAAAACTCAACCAGCCGTTCATGAACAGACTCCATCATGAGGAGCTCCAGCTGAACCACCGGGATCAGAGAAGCAGAACTTTACACCACATCATGGCCGCCGCCATGTTTGGTTTCTTTTTTGTGTGGGTCTGTGTTCTCTGTGGTTTTACTGCAGCGCCCTCTACTGGGAGGAGGAGTGTTCAACTGGCCCAGAGCTGCAGCTGTTTCTCACGCCGCCCAGAATTTGAGAAACCACTACCAGCGGCAGAACAAAACCAAACAAACTCTTTTCTTTCTTTAAAGTCTCCCATGTATGAAGTTATTTGAATTAATCATTATTTTTAATCATTAAGTTTTAAATATCTTACTGCAAACTGTAAAATCTGGGGAGTGTTGGCCTAATGGTTAGAGCAGTGCGCTGGTCCTCTGAGAAGGTTGCAAGAAGGGGCGGATAAAGGAAATATGGGGCCCTAGGCAAAGACAGGCAGGGGGGCCCTTGAATTAAGAAGACAACACATAAACAGCCCCATTCTCCAGATAGAAAAATATTAATAGAACAAACATCCATTATCTGTTCTAGGTTGTGTCCCTCTCTTCTTGTCCCTTTTCTTCTTGTTTTCCTCTCTATGTTTTGTACTCAGCTGACTTTTCATGCTGTCTCTAAAGGAATGAAAGATTTTTTTCAAGCACTAACAGGGCTCGATGTTAAAGGAATAGTACACCCAAAACATGATTAGCCTTC